TGGCATGCTCCTTGGGAAGAAGTCAGTGGGAAGAAGTAGGGCTCTTCTCTACCTTAGAGATCGTTTACACCAGGGGTCTCAAACACGCAGCCCGCGAGCCGCACGTGCCCGTAGACACCTTGCGGCCCATGAACGCCTTGTGCACGTCACGGTCTTCGTACCACTTTTTTTTTAAGGGCGAAGCTCCTCAGTCGTGGGTCGTACGTCCCGTGTCGTCGTCGTAGTAGTCACGCCTCGTTTAGTCCTTAAAATTTCCGCTGGATGGCGGTACTTAAAGTGCTAACTAGATTGATGGGTGGACGGAAGAGTGGACGCTTTGCCCCACTCATCATCATTCGCTCCGTGGATATGCAGTGATTTTTTTAATGAGCTTGTTCATGACCTACCTAGACGGTATTGGCCTCTGTCATTCCTATCATCAAGCACCCCATGCCGTCAACCTTGCTGTAAAACATATCAGTCAAACTAAATCTCCATGTTTCAGAATCAGCGTCCAGATTGCAGCCATTCAGAGTATCGAATTGTTTCTCGAAACATTGCATCAAATTTCCTTTAGAAGTAATCCACATGGCAAATCAATGCTTTAAAATGACAACGTTAATCGACATTTGACTCATGCACTCGATAATGTTTCCAGAAGGTGGAGCCACCGGCATAGGCGGACGCAGGATTTCCCTTCAGGGTTGGCGAAGGTTCGTCGCAGCGCTCCCCCCCCCCCCCTATTATGTCAATGTATGGGGATGATGATTTAGCACCCCCCCCCTGCATCCCCCCCCCCCCGCACAGTGCGCACGCCCGTGGTGACCGGCGTTTTGAGCGATTTGTGCATGTCCGCGTGCATCCGCTTTGAGGAGGAATTGCCGCGGAAGTTTTTTTTACGATGTGTGTGGAACACTTTCTGGGACACTGCGGCTAGGTTCACTGTCGTGCCACCTACCCGAAGTTGTCCGACGCCGCCGCCGCAGCTCCGAACGCCCCGTGATGTCCGAAAACACCTGAAGCCGCTGGGGCGTCGGCCCTCGCCGAAAGGGCTGCCGCTGAGCTGACGAGGCTTGGCGACCAGCCAGCCATTTCGCTGGCCGCGCTTAGGGCCGGTATGTGGAAGTCCGGTACGCTCAGCGAAGACGGACCTCCCGCACTTCCGCTTCCGCCTCCGTTTCCGGCAAGCAAGCCGTACACCTGCGAGAGAACAAGCTTATTGTTACTAGCTGTCCAAGAAGCAAAGCATACTGATCCGCATCATCAGTGAGTAGATGTACCACGCCGTTTAGCGATTGCGAGCATGGATTATGGTGTGCGGGCAATAACATCGGCAGGTTGAAATGAACCTGGAAAGTACTTCATGAATTCGTAGGCCAAGCGTATGGTTCTTGGGCGTTAAGCCCAAAATGATCAGATTAATAATTCTTACAGTTTTCGATTACAGTAATAGCGCTTGTTGATATGACATCGTGGCGCAAACTTTAACCAATAGTTACTACGAGGCAAGGACCGTAATAAATGGACAATACGCTTTATTACATGCAAGTTTTTCTCATACAACGCATGAATGATTTAGACTACACGAGTTTAGAGCTCGTAGTAAAGATTGTTGCAAGCTAACGCTTGCGGGTATCACGTCAAGGGGCACAGTCTGTCTGCACTGTACATTGCTTTATTAGTTACGGGTGGGGCGCTGCGGTGAAGCTTCGGAACCCTGCGCACGCTTGTGCTGCTGACATTCGTATTCAGGCGTGGTGTGGTGATATGAGTGCCCGGCTCAGCGCTTTACGCAGGATATAGCTTGTGTATAGACCAACGGCATGTGCATTATTGGGTAGTGCTGCAGCACGCCGTCTTGGTGGCCTGCCCACGCTTGGCTTTAAAAAAAAGCGATTAAATTTTCAACATAACCTAATTGTAGTCAAGACAATGATTATTCTGTCTGGTCTCAACGAGGAGAACAACACTTATCTTTTCGTTTTACGTACATTATTTTTTCATAAATAATAAATAATGAAAACGTCTAACTCGGGTAATCAGTTCCTGGCCAATTTCCCTAAATGGGTATGTGCCATGTTTAAGGCTGTCATCATCATCATCATCATCATCATCATATTTTAAAAGAGAAAATCGAGCTGGTCGATTGCGTGCATATCTCGCGAGGCTAGATCCACCTGCTACCTACAGTACCCCTTCCTCATTTATCGGGGACCCAAATAGGTGACCGAAAGCTTACGAGTGGTTTGCCACATTACATCTTCTAAGAGAAGTTTGAAACATCAAAGAAGGTAACTGAACTCGCCACTGCTGTTTTATTAATCAAGTGCTGCATACTTTGGCCTACCTAAGACACTTTCATTTTATGTTTTGGCTTGCTCCAGTCTTCACCATCACATCCACGGAACGGTAATTTGGAAGATGCAGCAGCCATGCTCCAGCCTTCTTCGGGACATTTCTCAATAGGAACATATATGTCAGCATCATCATCTCTATAGTACTGCTCGTTCAAGGCAAATCTGCGCGCGACCCTGAGAAGAAGAAGAACTGAATCATGGCGGACAGTAATAATCTACAACGTATGGTCTCGCCACAACCGGGATGCACAGATTCCACAGCTCCTCCTGTGCTTACCAGCCCCGCCCCCTTCAGTCACAGCCATCGCCGCACATCCCTGATTGTCTGCGGCGTGGCGGCATTCCTGCTGTTCGGCATGGTGACCGTGTTCGTCGGTGTCTACTTATTCGGGAAACACAGGGGCAGTGCTGGACCTACCTCCATAGAAATCACACCGTTCTGCTGCCCAGATGAGGTGGAAAGGTTAACCAGATACGTCAATACGACCGCTTTCCCATGCAAGAATTTTTTCGCCTACGTCTGCCCGGAAGTAACTGAAGGCGCACTCTCGAGGTACACCATCGAGCGCTATCGGCCTTTGCACGCCGTAATAACCGGTGCGATGAGTGCGGACGTGCCAATGGGCCCGGTGGGACGTTTTCTCATCGCCTACTTCAAAACGTGCGTACGGGCTATCGTGCACTACGACAATTTCGTCTCGTCTCTGGCTAATGCTTTTCTGCGAGACGCGGGAGACCTCTTGGGGAAAGCCAGCGCTCGAGAAGCCATGATATTCTGCGCTACCGTGTCGATGAGGTACTCTTTGTCATCAGTCATAAACATTCACATCGACAATAACACAGTGAGCTTAGAGTTCACTGCTGACGTCTGCGTTGTTCGAGGCCGTTCTAGCGTCACTCTGGCTGCTGCAGTTGAAGCCATACGAGGAACTACGAACGCGACTGTGACACTAAACGATATGGTTAAACTGGTGACAGCGCTTTGCAATTTCTTTCGAGGGGAGCGTAGATGGGAGGCACAGTACCAAGTCACAGCCAATAGCAGCAGTGCATTTAGTCAAGAAGTTTGGAACATCAGAGACATCGGAGCTGCAATGAATGCCCTTGGTTTCTCGTTAAAGGACGTGCGGGTTATAACTGTTTATGGTATCCGGGAAATTCGCCATCTGTACGACATGTTCAACGGCAACAAAAGTCCAGGTTTGAAGGGAGCATATCTTCTATGGCACGCACTCTTAAGTGGTGTCGATGGGTTGCATGTGCCCGAAGGCGAATTTTCGCTTCCTCTATTTCAAACCTGCTCAGAAAGAATGATCTCAATGTGGCATATCTGGGACTTGTTCGAAGCGGAATTCCTGACCAGCGAGGAGAAGGATTCGCAAGCGAGACATATATTTGCCACCATAAAAGACGCCGCTCGCGAACACTTCAAAGAGAGTGCCGTTTTTGATACCGAAGACCTGGACCGGTTAGAGGAGTTTTTCGAGAAAATAGACCTAGTGACACCCTCGGCTATAAGCAAAACTCCCGTCCAGGTCCCAGAGGCGACGCTAGACTTCGGCGAAAACCTTTTGAGAGCTTACGCTTTTGAAGGTAAAGTCGCCGCCAACCGGCTCTCAGCCTTGAGTGCGACGAAGACGCTCCGTCATCGGGACGTGTCAATTGTGGAAGACCGCTACATTCTACTATCACCCGCGTCATACAGTTACATCCGCACCGCTCCACCGAGTAAATCGCACCTCCCGAACATGGCTCTTCTCGGCTGGCTCCTGGCTGAAAGCTTTTGGGGCATCGCGCTGAACTTGATCAACTGGAAATCGAAGACCGCTGCTAATATCGGAAGGCTACACGAGTGCTTCGCCAAAAACTACTTTAAGGGCTTTTCCTTGGACGATATTGACTCTCGTGAGGTGATTATTGCAGCGCTCGGACTGTCCACTGTTCACAAGGCATTGAACTCGACTGAATGGCACGTAATGAAGCCTGCCTGGAGCCTCTGGAAGTTGTCTGAAGCGCAGTTTTTTTACATCCTCGGCAGCCACCAGCGATGTACAGGAGAGCAGTCGCGAGATGCGATGCTCGAGGTCAATGTGCCACTGATGTATGTTGAAGATTTTGCTGAATCATTCGGCTGTCTCAGCGATGATAAAATGAGACGCCCCTTTCGATGCCCCATTCATGGCGTGGCTCGCCAATAACAAAGCGGTGCTGTTTGGCACTCTTTTGATGTTTCGGAGAGATATGCGAGTCATAATATATATGCTCGAGACTTAGTCTTTTAACTGTTTCGGTCACTCTGTGTTTTGTTTTCCTTTATGACCAGTGTCACTTTCCTTATCGCGACCATCACCTTTTCGCCCCTGAAAAGCATAGGCGTACAGCGATAACCTGGCGTCCTATATGTCTGCACTAAACTTTGTTGTTTGTTTCGGTCACTGTGTTTTGTTTTCCTTTACAACGAGCGTCACTTTCTTTATCACGAATGTCACCTATTCGTCCTTGAAAAAAGCATAGGCGTGAGCAGAGTGGGGTGCATGAGGGTAGCCCTCCACCCTAGTCATGAGGAAAGGGGGGCGCGAAGTTCACCCCATACATAGACTAATTACAGGCAGAGGGCGCTGCAATGAAGCGTAAGTGCGCTTATCGTGTCGTCGTTCTCACGCATCATACCTGTTGCGACAAAGGGCCACCGTTGATGCAGGACTCAGTCGCGTACGAACCGTACCCTGGCTGCGACACTGAGTTGGAGGAGGCCAGAGACTGATGCGAGCGGTGCCAGGCCGTAGTGTCTGCAATGAATAAAAATAAAGCGCGTCGCTTTAAAACCCTGACACCCCCGCCAAAGAATTCATTGCATTTTTTGTTTTCTACAGCGTAGTGTACAAAACCAACGCTTTCATGGTTCACGTCACTGTCTTTAGCCTTTCTTTTCTTCTTTCATTTCATTGACATGTGGGGTTTAACGTCCCACAACCACCATATGATTACGAGAGATGACGTAGTGGAGGGCTCCGGTAATTTCGACCACCTGGGGTTCTTTAACATGCATCCAAATCTGAGCACACGGGCCTACAACATTTCCGCCTTCATCGGAAATGCAGGCGGGATTCGATCCCGCGACCTGCGGGTCAGCAGCCGAGTACCTTAGCCACTAGACCATTACGGCAGAGCGTTTTCTTCCTTCAGCTACGTTAACAAAAATATATTTTCCTTTCTCACCCTCGTGAATTATCATTTCGCAATATCAAAAGGTACTACCCTCGCACCGAGAATACCCTTGGTAAGCGAGAAAACACGCAAGCAATAAGATACATGCGGTGATGGTGAATTTATACTCCCGCACCAAATTTCTACGTTGTGGATTTGGCAACGTCTTCAAAGACATACATATTTTTATAACGGCAAAAAGTTTACATTGTTTTAAAGCGAAACCAGATACTTAACATCACAATTTTCACGAAATATTTTCTAACCAATGTGGGACTGAGAATAACAAAGAAAGAAACCTGCCAAGACATACCGAAATTTATTTGCTGAACTTTCTACTCTAGCTTCACCTGTTATGAAAACCTTAATGCAAATAGAGTTCTAGAAGAATAACCAATCAATCATAACTAATCTATGACATCTAAACACTTTCTAGTCTAATCTAAACACTTTCTACTAATCTAAACACTTTCTACTAATCTAAACAGTTTCTAATCTAAACACTTTCTACTAATCTAAACACTTTCTACTAATCTAAACAGTTTCTAATCTAAACACTTTCTAGTGTTTCCTTACGGAAGTTGCAGCGCCTGGTTCGCTTCGAGCTACGTCGATAAAATACGGTGTTAACTGTAACACGCAGTGATATCGCGTGATTCCTCACTGCAGTTTTCCTAAAATTAGTTATTCGCGTTTCCTCGCTGTTGAATAAAAGCCAGGTTACATCATCCTCACTGCGAACAGCCAGCGATGCCTGAAGTTCCAGTAATGTACCTGTAAATGTGGCTTTGCTGCATTTAGTGTATTAGTGCTAAGAAGCCAGAAAAAAACGCTCTGCAGGATGTGGTTTTGGTCGGGGCGGTGGGTGCGCGGCATGCGTTGCCTACGCTGGAATTTACAGTGCACAACACGTCGGTCATGATGACGTAAGTCGTCAAGGCAGGCTCGTTATGATTCGGCAAGAGACGTTGATTTGGACCGAGACGCGAGCATTCGCAGAGGGAAGGGGGGGGGGGGGGGGGTGTCTCGACACCGCCGATGCCGGATTTGAGATTAGGTGCGAGTTGAAACACGCACTAGAACTTTATTAAAATGATAGAACTTTATTAAAATGCTACGCATTTTAACAAAGTTCCGTGACATCGCTCACCGTGGTGCTGTAGTCCCGCGGAGGTGATTCCGGAGTCCAGATGTGGATGGTGGTGCGTCGACGTGGCGGCGCTGACCACCGGGGCAGTGGCTGCCGCCTGCGCGTAGCCCTGCAACAGCTGGCTGCTGAAGGCGGCGCCCGCGGGTTGACTTCCCACCTGCTTGCGCCAGCGCGCGCGTCGGTTGCTGAACCACACCTGCAGTGCACGCAACTTTGAGTCAAGTTTGAGAGAGGAGCGCAGTAGACCCTCGTTACAGGGAAGCCACTGGAAACGAATTTATTTATAAGTGGCATTTCGTGAAAGACTGTTCAAAGAATCGGCATACGCTAGCTCCGATTCCACTATTGATAATGGCAATCTGCTTAGATCTTTGAACAACAAGAGAGAATAGAGAGAGACAACACAAGGAGAAATGCAGGGAGGTTAACCAGGGCTGAGCCCCGGTAGGCTACCCTGCACTTGGAATTGCAGAGGGGAAGGAAAGTTATAGAGGAGGAGATAAGCATCCCATTATGTCTTATATCATTGCGTGATAGCGTTGCGAGGAGCTGCTGCCTCGTGGTGAATACTCTCGCCATTGACAGTTTGACGCTCTTAAATCGGAAGTTATCAAATTAATTCTACACCGATTATACTCATGCGGATCTGACGCTTGTCCATCTCTTAGGGCCATTCACTTCGACCACCCGGTCTACACTGAAAGCAACCGTGTAAATGTGAATGCTACTTGCCTGAACTCTGTTCTCCGTGAGCTTGGTTCTCTGCGCCAGCTCTTCGCGCGTGTATACGTCCGGGTACTGCGTGCGCTCGAATGCGCGCTCCAGCGCGTCCAGCTGGTCGGCCGAGAAGGTGGTGCGAGAACGTCGCGTCTTGCGCTTCAGCAGCAGGCCCGGCTCCGAGTCGCAGTCGGAGTCGTCGTCGCCCAGGCCGCCCAGCCGACCTGCGTTCGGTGTACGAGCGCCGTATGTAAGTCAACAAGATTGTAGATCACTTTAGAATGAATGGGCCTATTGGGACCGGTGGTCGCAAATCAAACTTATCCTTATCTCTTACTCTGTACGTGCGGTATAAGGGCACAAATGTGGTAACGGGCTAAAATATCACTACATGATTGCTTTTTGCACTCTATTTGTCAAGCGCATTGAAGCCACAACACTGATAAGAAAAACGCGAGATAAGGACAACGTTGGCTTGATAATACTGGCCTTAGGAAGACGCCAAGAAAGGGGTATTGATCAAAAGTTCGTGTTTTTTTTTGTTATGTGCAGCCTAATGAAAGCAACAGACAATAATGCTTAGAATGGTATTGGGTCATTATATGTAGTCTTTAATTATATGGTAGCAATTACAGAGTAAATCTAAATAAATCATTAGGTATTGAAGAAGACAGTGTCTTTTTTTACATTCTATTACGAGGTATGATTACTTATGACCTGAAATATGGGCTGCATACTTCTGAAAGCAGTGCAGCGTATATAATAGAGCGTATAAGTCACGTGACTTGAACTACCGTATTTACTTTGATGTTACCAGCACTCGTTGGCATTAGCTGTGGTGTGGCTAGTTAGTGCTTATTTAAGTTCGTTAACAGTGGCTAAATTAAAAGTGGCTAATTCGTTAAACGTGGCTAAACAAAAGTGACTAAAGAGTGGCCTGTCTTTCGACGGCACCTCGCCGGCTACTGCTGTTCACAAAACAAACAAAAGCAGAATCACAAAAAGAAAAAAAAAAAACGCCAGATCTGCGCGGTAGGTGCAGCACAGTCACAGCGAAAGCTAGAAGAGCGGCCTTTCAGAGCTTTTTTTTTTTTTACTAGATGGTTCTGACAGTCCTTCCTACAGATATATTATAAACCAAACAAAACATGCATATAATACTACTAATTGAGATCTAAGCAATATATGTGCGACCCGTTGTTAGCAAAGAGCAATAGTTCACTAAGAAATATAGCCACCTGAATTACACGCTCAAAACTGAGAAATACACAGACAGAAAGTGGTTGCTGATGACTGATCGTGAAAGGATTCGGCATGCACGGCAAAACACCGCCGGAAGTTGAATCGCAGCCTCTGCCATTCGCCCTAATTGTGCGGCTAAGTTTTTTTCGCGTTTATAGTCTCGCGACATATCGTGCTAACGATGTCTGATCCGACGTCGTTGATCTATCAGTATTCTCAGATGATCGCCGGCTTGGCGGGCAATTAAGATTTATCTTTTTTTTTCACATTCATTTGGTGTTTCCCTTATTATCTTTTCAAATTAATTATGTTCCTCCACTTTACCTGCATAATGCAGAAATGTGTTTGCGCACTATCTATATAGGTTGTTCTCCGGAAATTCGTTACACAGAATATGTGATTTTAAAAAAAAGAGGAGCATATACGAAGTATCCGTCACTGTGTGTCTTTTTTTTTGTTTATCATCAGGACAGCAGCTTGTTATGTAGTTTTTTCTTTATTTTGTTACGAAGAAACAATTTTTAAAAAATGCTGTAATTACCACTGAATTTTCATGCAGGTATAAATGTTAACTGGCTGAGATAGATGAACTGGTAAGCGGAGACACGATTATAACTGTTCTCCGAATGTAATATTCCGAATAATTGACAAAAAGAATAACAAGATGTGACGACGACATCTACGATGCATGACGCTTCGCTTGCTATAATACTCCCTGCGTACACACGGTGTCAAAAATTTAGAGATAACTATATAGGTATGATGATAGAACTTTGAACTTCTCCGAAATTAGTGATTACATTTGGTCGAACTGCTCAGAACGTGCTGTTAGCGCGTTAAAAAAGGAAAAAAAAAGAAACAGGCCGGAAAAGCTAATTTAAGACTTCCTGTTGAGGCAGCGGGAGTATTCAGCTGTTTGTCTTGTGTCGCGTGGTCTCTAAACTTACGACGCCGACTGTACATGCGAAAAACGCTCCGTCCGCTTGCGTGCGAGAAAACGAAGCGCCGTGCGCGGTCCATCCCGGTCGACGAAAACGCACGCGCGCGATTGCACGGCACCCCTCATATAATGTCGCGATATGGGACGTCCCACAATGGGAAAGCGGGGAGTGAGGCGAGCCCGAGTCCGAACTCGGCGGGGCGTTCCGGGCGACCGACCAATGAGCGTGTTTCCTGTTTACGCCCTGGTTTCCCCGCTTTTGTGCGGCCTCTCCGGTGATATCGCATGTGTCGCTGCAGTCTCCCCTGCGTGATTTGTTCCCTTCCCCGTTGGCGGCGTCGATGTGTGGGGCATTATGCGCTGCGGGACAGGTTGAGTGATGAGGCTCTTTTCAATAAGAGCGGGGAGGAAACGATCGCCTTCCTGGCTGTCGTTTTTTTACGTCTATTTTTGTATTTATTTATTATTTTTATTCTTGTTCACAACGGTTCGACTCGGATGTTCACTGCGATATTTCATGGAAGGTCCAATTTCTTATTCAACAAGTCACGTAGTGTTCGACAGCCTTTCAAGCTTCGAGTGACTTTATACGCATCTTTCACGTCAGCTATATAAGGCTGTGCCGTGATTACGAATGAAACATTGTAACCATGAAACTCCCAGCATCATTTTCTGTGCAACAGTTGGCAATGTGATTGGCGTTGTGGATCATAGTGAATCATTTGCGATAAAGTTCAGGGCGTATCAATCTGAATGTTCAAAGTGCACGCAGAAAAGTGATGTATCACCGTTTAAAGTGTCCCTTGTGTTTGCGACACAAAACGTGAAGCTGGTATTTCAACACCGGTAGTCATATTAGGGGTTAGAAGGGACACCTGCCGTGTGTCAATGTTGAAGAAGAGCGATATAATGTTGCACGTAGCTGCTTAAACATACCCTTTTAAAACGACTTTTAATAATAAATAATAAAGAAAGTTCAGGAGACCCTCTTCTTTCCGTTTATTTGGCTGGAGCCTTGAGAAAGGTTATAAAGCATAAATCATCCAATGATAATGAAAGTATCCTTCGATGACGCGGTGTCACCGGAGCCATCGTTCCGGCAAGCAGTTTCATCTTTTCGAAGTTTTCGCCCTACCGGCAACCCCTCTTTTGAGGATGCTTCATCGCTTCAAGATTTCATCTTTCTTTGAACGTCTCCCTTATTTGGACATATAACGACGAGTGTCACTGTCAATGCATTGAACGTCCTCGCTGATGAAGTGGTCTGTTAATTGATTTATATGTGGGCTTTAACTTCCCAAAACCACCATATATTTATGAGAGACGCCGTAATAGAGGGCTCCGGAAATTTCGACCACCTGGGATTCTTTAACGTGCACCCAAACCTGAGCACACGGGCCTACAACATTTCCGCCTCCATCAGAAATTCAGTCGCCGCAGCCGGGATTCGATCCCGTGACCTGTGGGTCAGCAGCCGAGTACCTTAGCCCCTATAGACCACCGCGGCGGGGCAAGTGTTCCGTTAAGTATACTTATTTGTACCACCGTACCATTCGAATGAAGCACGACTTTACGACTCTCGATCAGCGTTGTGGAAAAGACGTAAAGCGTCGGGCCGTGCGTGCTTGCACATCCGTGTGATGGGGCATATGCGCATGTGGCGTATAGTTCAACAACAACAACAACAACAACAACAACAACAACAACAACAACAACAACAACAACAACAACAACAACAACAACAACAACAACAACAACAACAACAACAACAACGACGACGACGACGACGACGACGACGACGACGACGACAACAACAACAACAACAACGACGACAACAACAACAACAACAACAACAACAACAAATCACCTGTGACGTAGTAACCAGTGCAGTGAGCTTCGGTGCTATAGATACCAATAGTTTATATGCCACTGTGGCATTTTACATTTGTGACATTTAAAAAAATTGTTATGTCCCTTGTCCGCCGTGGTGGTGTAGCGTTTACGATGTCACCCGAAGGTCGTTGGTTCGATACCGACCGTGGCAGTCGCACTTGGGTGGTCGTGCAATGGCATAGGCCCGTGTGCTGTGCCTTGTCAGTGCACGTCAAAGAGCACCAAATGGTCAAAATTTTCGAAGTTTTCCCACTATGGCATCTCGCATAATCATATCGTGGTTTTGAGACGTGAAAAAACAACAGACATTACTACTATTTACGTCTCTTCGGTGTACATCTTATTTTTTTTACGGGAATTTCCTCCGCTTATAACCCAAACGCATTCCAGTAAGTGGTTGCAAACTCGGGGGAGAAAACACGTCTTCATGAACACTATATGCACACCTGCTTACATGACAATACATTTTACTGTGTGATAGCTGCGGTGTAACCAAAGAGGAATTTGCATATGGGTTGGTCCTGGCCTGGTACTCCGCTGCTTTGCACTGGTGGTCCCAGTTTTGTTATTAAATATTTCGTACAGAAGCTGTTACTGCATTCCTTTTCTGTGACTCTGAAAGTGGTTACAAGTAAGCTCCTACATCAACCGTGCCTACCCAAGACAAACTTTGCGTCTGTTTTGTATTTTTTAGGTTATCAGTCAGGCATATATTTGATAATGGTGCCAAAATGTACAAGCATAATTAAAAATGGGTGTGGCAGCTTGGGCTAGTTGGTATGATGACGATAGTTATAGCGCGAGAACAGAACGACGACACAGAGAAAGAAGAACACGAAGGACACGAGTCCGAAGGACACGAGTCCGCGCACGTGTCCTTCATGTCCTTCTTGTCTTTGTGTCGTCGTTATGTTCTCACGCTATAACTATCGTCATGTCAAAATGGGTCTTACGCATGTGGTTAAGCACCCAGTCTATCGGCCTAAAGGACCAAAAAGGCATGCCTTAAAAATGCTGCACGTACTTGAAAAAAAAAATGTTGCTTAAATAATGCTCAAAAAGTGGTTTCATTATATGTCGCCGTTTGTTTCGGCATGAATGTGTGCATCCGCGAACCGTATATTCCGATCCTCCATACGCGACGACTCT